CGTTACAAAGATTGATCAGGTGGCTGTATTTATTGTTCACACCATACGTATTTGTCCCAAGCACGGCTCCATCATGGCACATCATTTACGACTGTAATTTCCATTGCTGAAAAAGGGGCAAATAATTCTGGAAGACCAGACCCTCGCATGATATCGTTGCTTCATGGGGGAAATTATCGATTTACGCGACCGCCCGGCAACGACGGTCACTTACACGCTATTACACAAGTATCCGTAAATTAGAATTGCCGAGAGACGGGCGACGCGAAAGACAAACCGGAACTCGGATGCAATTGAAGATTTCAGGAGCGGTCGGCGGAAACGCCCTCCGTACTCTTTCGGGAAAAACACCGTAAGAACATTTGAATGTTGACAAAGCTCTGCCGATAAAGTACCCATTTTGGAGAAAAGATGGATACTTTTTCTGAAAGACATCCGGTTCCTAAGATTAAGTCTCTCCCCGGTTGAATTCACTGAAAAAAATATCGGTGTATTTACTAAGAAAAGGGTAAAATTACCAAGAATTCAGGGTTCTATTTGAGCCCAGTTTTTTCCTAGTAAAATTACCATTTATGGAACTGGTAATTTTACCGAGAAAGCTCGGTAAAATTGTTGAACTTTCTCGGTAATTTTACTGGACCTTGGTAAAAACGCCAATATTTTTTATCGACTGTGGTAGAATTACCGAGATAAAATGGCAAAGTTACCGGGAATTGATTACCAATAAAAGTGGTATTCTTACCTGAAAAAAAAACCAGTAAAAATACCGGTTTTTAGGTAAGCATACCAGTCTGCCTTGATAAAATTACCAATAATTGGTAAAAAAAATGAGATGGTAAACGTACCAACGGACCTTGGTAAAAAAACCGAGAATTTTTTTTTCAGTGAAGTACTCATTTTGGAGAAAAGATAGATACTTTTTCTTAAAGATATCTGGTTCCTAAGATTAAGTCTCTCCCCGGTTGAAGGATGTCGTTCCTCAGAACCAAATCTCACAGGAGTGGAAAGAATTTGATTTTCTCGTTGAGCAAAATGATTGACAATTTTCTTAAGTGTTTAGAAAATAGGCCAATATCTGTTAAAATTGAAGTTCTGAGATAATTTTTTGGGAGTTATTTTTAGCGCGCTTCAAGGCGAATTTGAATTGTGGAATTGCGCCCTCTTTCAAGAAAATCAGACGGACAGAGAAATTTTTAAGTGATAAGAGGGACACAATGCAATAGCCCGAATTTATGACAATAAAATACATGAAATAAGCTACAAGTTGGTTTTAAGGGCTAAAAACAGAGTAGAGAAACACAACCAGGACATTTCGAGCCAATTACATGTCCTTTCTCAACTGGGACAAAAGCTACGATTCAAAAATTAAAACAAGAAGACAAGCATGCAGCTGACCGAGGTAGGTATCCGTGTGATATTTTTAAGTGAGAAAATATTTTTAAAATGAGTGTTGAATGTTTTACCGCTAATTTTCATTATTTAAGGAGATACTTGATGTTTTACCTTCAAAAAGGACACACATTTAAAGGTATTCCTCCTTCCTCCGGAATAAAAATAAAATCTCAGGAACTTTTTAAGTGCCCTTTAAAATGCCAAAAATTGGGGGGAAATTGAAAATTTTGGACTGACGCGTAAGTCCCTCTGCATGAGACCGATTCAATTGCAAATAAAACTATCTAAAATTTTTCGGAGAGAAAATATTCCAAAAAATTCGTATTTTGTCGAGAAGATGTGACAACGTCCACAAGTTCATACGGCATTTTCCCACAGGACGGCAGTACTGCACCCGAGTTTTCGGCACTTACCTGGATTTACGTTTCGGATCCCCGATACGGTTTTACCGGGGCATCCACTGTTTCCCTCTTATCCCTCCATGCTAATATTCGGACACTTTCGGTGTACAACACCCCTCGTGGCTTATTTATAACTCGTTAGTGCGGATCCCGGGGAGTCGTTAGGGGGTTTTCCTTATTAGTGCAGCATCGGAATGAACCTCTGCTCAGCTCCCGCATCGGAAGATTGCGATATCGATTCGCATCTCACTTCGCTGGAATCTTGGCGGAAAGCGGGGCGATTATGAAAACCTGGGCGGTAAAAAGTGAGACATAACTTGAGGCAAACGGAACAGAGTCCATTTTGCTGATGAGCCCCATAACCTAAACGTTTTTACGTAATCTAGAGCTCATCAGTAAAATAGACTTTGCTCCGTTCGCTTCAAGATGCCTCGAGTGTGATCCTTCGCGGTTGAAAAGGAGGGTTGAATCCACAATAACCGCTGGCGCGGGGTACTTTCCGCCCGAATTAATAATGTAAAGAACATTTTATCTCACTCTCTGTTTCAGTTGCAGTAATACTTAAATTACTCCAGGAATACAGTGTTTTGCTCTTATCTATACGCCGTAACCGTACCGCCGTAATCTCAAATTTTCTACTGGTGAAAAAACCAAAATTATCGTGGAACAAAGTCGGTCATGGAAACGATACTTTCGTCTAGAAAGTTGGTAATTATAATTTTTGCGTAAAAATATTCTTTCTCGTTTCACACGTGATATTCAAAAACTTGTTCAAAAGATTCAGCACAATGAGGAAATTACCGTATCCACCCGAGAGGAACTGAAATTAATGAAAGACCAATTGGACGGAGTTAAACAGAAAGGAACCAAGCCACATCGGGATTAAACCGAGAAAAAGTGGTTTAAAGTTCAGCTCCTGCATAAGACTCAATGTAAAAGATAAACTTCAAGTTCAATTTCTGCAAAATTTGCTCCAACAAAAACTTTGAATTTTTGGCGAAAGATAGTAGAGCAGTGGTTGAGTTCAAAACCACTCATAACTCAATTTTTTCAAAAATGTGGGTTGGTTCCTTTCTGCTTAACCCAGTCCAATTTAATATTCAAGTGAACATTGATTTTTTTGCGTTAGGAGTTGATTTTCAAGCACTAATTAGAGGAATTTTTACCGATAAGTTCGATTTTAAATTTTTTCTATATGTTCCTGGCATTCTTAATGAAATTTTGATGAGGAAGCTTGTGCTTGTGATGCTTAATTTTTTACCTGTTAAGAAGTCTATCACGGTGCTCACCACAGTCTCTATACTCTTCTAAAATCTAGATAAGCTTATGGAAGCGATTTGGGATCAACATGCGTTGCTTTGGCTCGTTCTATTCGGTTTCATTCGCACAGTTACTCACCCTGACCAGTTTGCCTTCAAAAAATTTACCAGGCAATGAGAATGGCACGAAAGTAGCAATACATATATTGCTATACACATATTGCTATATCAATACAATATTAATGCAGCAATTGACATATATTGCTATATATTACAATTGCTATATAATACAATTGCTATCTATTAACATCCTCTTGCACATTGTTTTTTTTTTTTACTAAAGCATGACCTGCATTTGTAAAGTCTGCTTATAGCTCAGCTCTTTTTTCGCATTATGAGTAGCCGAAAACCTAAAAATCTTGTAGCAATAAAAGTATAGCGTTTGGGCCATATGAATTTTATTTCGCTTATCTTTAAAGATTGACTTCTAAGAACCTAACTCGAGGTTTTTGTATAAATTACTGACTAAGACACTAGCAATTGCCTAAATTTTGTTAAAGAATCGATATCTATCGATTCCAAGCAAGACAGGCTACTTCACCAAGAATTGATTATTTGTAATAGAGTTAAATGGATAAAAAGCAGCGTTGCCAGCTTGTGAGAATTGCCACTGGACCGAGAGCGGTGAATCCGAAGGTCAATTTTCCGAACACGTCGTAAAATATTTAGCACTGCGGGATGCAGGTCATCGGAGAAGCGACTTGCATAGATGACCGATAAAACGATGAGTGATGAGAACTCGGTACCCCTCGGACGAGGGAGGCATACTCAATGCCTCGAGTCATGTGTTTGACACAGACAGCTTCCACCCAGATTCCCCCTCCTCGAGAACCGAAATTTATTCCCCACTCATGACGTGTTTTCTGCGGGCTGCATTTTTATGCATCCGTTTTTCCCCTCGCTCAAAAGTGAACCCGCATTTTCAAAAAAAGGACTATGTTCATTTTCACATGAGCCCCGTGGTGCCCTCATTTTGGAACATCCCTAGGCTCGCCTGAAAACTCACATGCTCCATTGCAAAGATAGGTATGAGTTTCGGGAGAAAAATCCTCATTGTTAACGACAGAGCTGATTTTTTTTCGCAGTTATCGTAGCTCATTGGTTCAGTATTCGAGTACGAATGAATTGTTTCATAAGTTGCCGCAGGATAGATTGGGTTTATCTGTTACCCCCTCGCGTTAACAGTTGAGCAAGCTCTGCGATTTTTTATTTACTTTGAACTATAAAAAGGAGGAAAATGTAGGCATATTTTGTCGTAAAAATTTGATCGCTCAATAAAATGTAATTTTATTTCACCCAACAACGATTTTATCAGAGACAACACAAGTGAGAAACCTCCGCACTAACAGTCTATTGGAGGTCAACTCCACTAATTGCCTGTTTCGTTGTTTCCCAACGAAAGAACGGAACCACATTTCAATGTTGTCAAATTTCTCCTCGCAAACTGTATTTTTACCACGAAAATCTTGGGTCTTTCCCACTGAAAATTTCACCGATTTTTCTTCTGATCTCGTGCAAAAATCGGACAATAAATTACACAGGTAAATTCTTGTAAAATATTAAACTGTTCGAGTCAATTTTTATAGAATATAGAGTTACGTTCCTCCGTCCAAGAGAGGACGAATTTCGATCATTGGCGGATCCAGAAAATTGGCAACATTGCCTTCTCTCCATTTATAGCAATGGAAATATATCGATTCTTAGAGGGGCCAGGTGCTCCACCAAGAATCGATTATTTAGCATAGTTTAAATGTAGGAAATCCGGTGTTGCCAAATTGCTGATCCGCCTCTGATTTCGATTGATGAGAAACTTCTACAGCAAGAACGACAAACGTGCACACATATACCGCACTACCATACTAACATACTTCATATCATAAGGACTTACCAATTTTGATGAATGGTGGAAGGCACATGATAGGCGTACACAAACAGTCAAGAATTAGGTAGATGAACACAAGAAGCTTATCGCACATATTCCTCCGGCAGCTAAAACAATCGAACCAATCATTGGTCAGATTTTCATCCAACCGACACCATTTTGCCATGGGGTCCCTGTAACAGTCCATTTAGAATAGTCAGAGCCAAATGCACAGAAAACAGTTTGATTGCATTTTCGTTTACAATTCAGAGTTTTAAAGAATGATTTTTCTGTTTCAAATATGTCCACATACTTTCAACATTTTGGTTACGTGACGAGTCGGAAGTTATTTTTACCGAAAAGTTTTTGTTAGATCAAGCTAAATGTATGTTCCATAAATCATTGCCAAAACGTTTCTTTAAAGTGTAATATGACAATGTAGCAGCGATGCGGCATAGGTCACCAAAATCCGACGTTTTTTCGTGCATTTAAGCTTTGTGCATTTGAAGTGGCAATTTTTTTGTATTTTTGAAAAAATTGTCTTGTCATTGTTGCTTTCGAGCAAGAAAAAAACCCACGCACTATGCCTACTTATGAGCTTACATTGAGAAAAAAATATCGGTGTATTTACTAAGAAAATGGTAAAATTACCAAGAATTCAGGGTTCTATTTGAGCCCAGTTTTTTCCTGGTAAAATTACCATTTATGGAACTGGTAATTTTACCGAGAAAGCTCGGTAAAATTGTTGAACTTTCTCGGTAATTTTACTGGACCTTGGTAAAAACGCCAATATTTTTTATCGACTGTGGTAGAATTACCGAGATAAAATGGCAAAGTTACCGGGAATTGATTACCAATAAAAGTGGTATTCTTACCTGAAAAAACAGTAAAAATACCGGCTTTTAGGTAAGCTTACCAGTCTGTTTTGGTAAAATTACCAATAATTGGTAAAAAAATTGAGATGGTAAAGGTACCAACGGACCTTGGTAAAAACGCCGTGAATTCTTTTTTAGTGTATTTATTTATTTACTTCGTCATTTGCTTCTCTCTTCCTCCTTAAATTCATTTATATTTTAAACGAGAGCATGTCACTTCAAAACCAGACATATTCCTCAAAACGGTTCCACCTGGTGAAATTGGGACTCTTTCGGTGGCTTGTCCCCAAGGAGGGGCTCGGAGAAGGCGGGAAAAAGTAACTCAATAATTCGGCTGATTCCGGCAATGCTCGGAGTTCTCCATCTCCTCGGGGGGAATCATCAGGCAGCTCTGCTACGTGTGAGCAAGTAAAAAGTAGGTGGAGCGTTAATGGCGTCGACTTTCAATGAGCGGATGATGCGACATTAGAGTGGCAGTATTCCACCGCTCTTTTATGCCTCAAACAATCAGGGACAATCAATGACTTATCTCGGGGTTTTCACGGCGTGTGGCGTTGCCACGCTCTGTCGCTTTAGCCAACATTTTACATTGTCTCCCGGTTGAAACTTGAGTTCCCACATACTGCCGTGCTAAGGAAAAACGCCGTATGAACATTCGAGAGTTGCCAAATCGCCCCGGATGAAACATGTATTTGAAAAAGATTATCCGTATTTATCCTTGAAATTTTTAGACATTTTAGACAAAATTGCGAACAAAATTCTCTAAAAAAATTTAAAAAAAAAAACATTCACAATTTTCCCAGTAAATTAGGTTTTTATTGAAGAAAATGTGGCAACGTCTGATGGTTCATACGGCGCTCTTCCTTAGCATGGAAGCACTGCCGTGCTAAGGAAGAACGCCGTATGAACATTCAAGAGTTGCCAAGTTCCCCTTTATCAAACATGTATTTTTGACAACATTCGTGCGTATTTTTCCTTGAAAGTTTCAGATTTTTCTTTTTATTAAATTGCATACAACATTTTCTGAAAATTTTGGAAATAATATTCACAATTTTCCGTGTAATTTCGGTATATGAAGGAAATTTTGCAACGTCTAGAGGCTCGTAGGACGTTCTTCCTTAGCACGGCAGTATAGGGAGAGCACGGACAAGTAGGTAATTTTGAGGTTAGATTATGGAGCTTTAGAGCCCAGAGAGCAGCCACGCTATGAATTCAAATTATGCAGAGTGATTTATTATTTCAGTTGTTACGACTCGTAGTTTGTATAATACGCATTTGACTCATATTTTTGCATGCATTTACCCATTTTTACGAGAAAACGCTCATTTATGAATATTCTTGGCCATCTTGGTTTGATATTGGAATCTGGAGATTGGCGCCCTGGTTAAAATAGACAGTAGAATCTGTGTTCCAAAATACCATAGACCTACAGCCGGCTGTAAGATTTCCAATAGCTTCTATAGCCGGCAACACAATTTCTTATAGCATTTTATAGTCGATGGCGATTAAGCAACAGCCTGGCGATAAAGTTTATGCTAAACGTTACTAATTACGGATGCTAGGACTTAGTGAGTTTTTGGACTACCGCTCCCTTTTTGGGCCGTAGTATCTTGATTTATTTTGCGAGGAAAGCTCCGTACTTTTGAAAGATGCCTGTGATTCCTAATATGTTGGAGCGCCTTTAATTTCGTATGATACTGTGCAATACCTCTGGCGTGAAATAGTTGCTTCAAGCGCCGTGGTACGCTGCGGCGCGGCGCGGCGGGCGGGCAGCCAGCGCGAAACGCGCATTGGCGCCTACAAACCTAACAGAAACTTCACGCATTGCGCAATGCGTGAAGTATCCCTGTTAGGTTTGTAGGCGTCAGTACGCCGCCGCTTCGCTTTTCGTCAGGCTCTAATATTTAATCTCGCGGAGTCAGCGTTTTTTAACTCATGACTTTGAAATGTTTGCACACTCTGTATGGATTATTCTCATTTTAATTGATGAAATAAAGTATGTAGTAAAGGAAAATATAATGTGCATTTTGTAAATATTAAGGTGATTCCGTACAAATTTAAGGATTTACACAGCACACGAATTTCTACACAATTTCTTTTATCCTTTTATAGCCGATGGCGAAAAAGCAACAGCCAGGCGATAAAGTGTAAAGCCCGGCGATAGGAACTATAGCCCGGCTGTATAATTTTTTATCGCCTCGTGTAGCCCGGCCGTATGATTTTTCCACTTTCTACAGCCAGCTATATGATTTTCTATCGCCTTCTTCAGTCGGCTAAAAGAATTCCTATGGTATTTTGAAACGCAGCTCCTATCGCCAATTTTTACCAGAGCGGTGCCATGTTTTGTGTTAGGAGGTTGGCTGCCCTTTTCGGGCCCCAAGAGCTCCATATTCCGGCAAGTCCATACTCTCCGTAGGTATATAGGCACTCTAGTTGAAAGAAAAACAGTTAGGAAGCTGCAGAAAAAATAACGAATGTATACTTTTTGGAGAGAATAAAGATAACATTCAAAACAGCAGGATTTGTTTAATTTTTGGCGCGTATACGTAGTATACCGCCTTTGCGATCGTTTCGACCCCCCCCTCGATACAATAACCGAGTCCCCTAGTTCCTTACCGAAAAGTGACTACCGCGAACTTCTGAGATTTTCCAAAGCGTGTAAAAAGTTTACTAATCCGTCAATAATAATGATTAAAATTTGTTTCTCATTCTGGGGCTCGCTAGTTTATGTGTAATGAATACCAAGAGTCTACGTTTCTTGGTTTTTTTTAAAAAAACCTTAGAATGGGGCGCGCTGATTTAAAATATGCATATATAAGCGGAAGCAAGCGAACTGATTCGAGGATGGCTGACCAGTTCGGCACTCCTTGAATGAGAATTTCACTCACTCCGTTTTGTTCACAACGTTGCTTTGACATATCTCCACAACACTGTTATCCTTTTCAAAAGTTGGTACTCCTTGCTCTGATAGCCGGGGCCACCAGGATAGTGGTAAGTGCAATCTGTGATGAGCCTCGAGACTCATTAGACCATTTGCTAAACGTGGCTCATACAGGAGTCCACTAAGCCCTCTCGTCCCCACGCTCCTGATCACTGCGTCGGCGTCACGAAGAACAATGGGCCTTGGGTCCCAACGCGGCCGATACCCGTACCCCAATTACTCACGCTTCATTAACCATTTCACCGTCACGCTAGGATTCATCCAATTTTCAAAAAAAATTGTTTCGCATGTATTTAGCAATTTTTTCCTTACTCTCCGTTAAAACACAAATAAAAAGAGACCTCATTCATAAAAATCGGCCGAATAGAAGAGAAGTTACAGTAATCGAAATCCGAAGAAATCAACAAAACCTCGACTCCTCGATACGAAAAATAAAATGAAGGGGAAAAAAAGAAAGTATAAATTACAATTAAATATAATTGACCTCAAAATTTGACAAACAATTCATTTATATACCTAACGCTGAAAAAACTGGGAGAAATTACAAAAAATTTGCCTCTTGCAAGGGGCTTCTTTGTAAGAATTTTGACCTGAAGACAACGGTCGAATAACAGCAGTACTCCATACAATACACGGTGTGCCTGAACGAGTTAAACATTTTTCATACGTCCAAATCGAAAAATCTTTATATTTTTAACTACAATGTTTCTTGAATCGTTTAAGCAAAAAAAAAAAAAAAAAAAATTCCGTCGAGATTCTGGAACGCAAAGGCGCTTTAAAAGTATTCTGGGGCTATAATAGCTAAATCACCGGTAGTAAATTCGTTATATTATTAAAAAGAAATTGACTCCATAGTTTAATTCCTTAGTTTCTTGAATACGATTATTTTAAGCACTTAAACATTTATACCACCAATTTTAGCCATGGGGTGATTTCCTGAGAGCCGATAATATCACGAATTTCTCATAGAACCCCTCAACAGTGGCTTGCTTTTTTGGCAGCCGATTCGGCCATCGAACCGGAGTTTAAATGGAAGCTGATAATAACCCAAAGCTCTGAGAAAAATTTTGAGATGAGTATAAGAACGGTTTGTTGTAAGTAGCGAGGAGAGGCGGGCAAAGCGGCTAAAATCCTATCTAATTTTTACAGTTTTTCTGTTGAATTAATGTTGCCGCGGGCTTCTGACTGTCCACACATAGTTCTGTTCAGCATATCGATACATAAGTATTTACATTTTACATACGTAGAATCTAATTTTCACGTCGGGGAGTTGACATATTTTGATTTTTTCGATTTTATACGGAAAATTGATGGTTTTTCGGGATTGAAATTATTATTGTTTCATGAAAAATAAATGCACCCAAAATGACTATAGCAT